GTCAAAATTATCCTATATACCTTTAATTTAAAGTATTTATTTATTGTATATAACTAAAATTTACAATTATGCACAATTATGTGAATCAAATATGTGAGTTTATACAAGTTATTTTCAGAACTTTAAATTTAAACGATTTGATGATGATTTATATTTACTTGCTTATTTCTTGTATCTTAAATATAAAAGTAAATTTTTAATATATTTTAATTATATTTTATTAATTTATTATTAATTAATTTAATAAATTTTAGAATGAGGTTTAAAACTAACACTTTTTATCAGTTAAATTTAATTATTACATAATGTTAAAGAATATGAAATACAATAAGACTGATTGTCAAACTTTAGTTACTTAAATGTACAAGTTTGATCTAAAGCAAGCACTATTTGAATCATCTTATACTGAAAATCATAATACTTCTTTAATTTAGTGAATGACATGCAAATCTTTTCCTAATTTTTTTAAAATAGTGATCATTTGTATCTTTAATATTATACTATATAGTATTATATATAAAAGATTCTTCTCTACTTTAGATTAGTTTATGGATCTTATTATTGATATTTTAGCTTAAAACTATAGCTAAAGTTCAAAAATTCTGTATTTAAAAAATGAAAATAAATTATATTATACTAGTAAAAATATATCTATTAAAGAAATAGTCAATTTATTAATAGATTTAATTAATGATGAATTAGATAAAGAAGAGAAAGAAGAGAATATTGATATAAATTTTAGAGAAGATTTAGAATCAGTAATAAATATTAATTTAAATATTACTGCAACTTTGAATTTAAATGTTATAATTATTAATGATAATACAAATTTTAATGAAGATAATAATCAAAAAGTAAATTTAGAAAGTGAAGTAGATTTTAATTTGAAAAATCTAGTAGATAAAGATTTAAAAAATTTTAAATAAAGAATATTATTATATAAATAAAGTGATATTTTTTATAATAAATTGTTAAATAATTTTATAAAATAAATTTAACATTTTTTTTTCTATAAAATAATTTACAATTTTAAATATTTATTATATAAATAATTGACCAATCAAAATTAAGAATTAATTATATATTATAAAATAATTATAAATTATAAATTAATTATGCATTATGCTTTACAAAAATTTTATCTATAGATATATAATATATAATTACAAATAACATTATAAATTTTTTATAATTCAATAATTATAATTAGTATCTTAAAATTAATATTAATTTTAAATTGATTTATAGTTAAATTTAAGTTCTGAATAATGTTAAATCAATGCTAAATTGAAACTAATTTTAGGCTAATTTATAGTTAAATTTAAGTACTAAATTAATACTAAATAGCTATATATAATTAGAGTTAATTGATATTAATCAGTATATATTTATGTTAATCAGAAAATATTGGTAAATAATATAAAAATTGGCTTAAAATCAGTTATCTAATTTTTAGCCAATTTGAACTATTGCAATCAGTGAATATAATACTATAAAATATTATATTATAATAAAAATTAAAGCTATTAATTATCATATTATAATAATTATTTTTTTATTTAATAATAAAATTTAATTAAATTTATTACTTATTTATTAATTAATATTTATTTTTATAATTAAAAGCCTTTTATTTTTATATTTATTTATGTTAAACTTAATATTATCATTTTTTATTATTAATAATAATAATAAAATTATTATTAGAATTATTACTACAATTAACCTTTACTAAATGTATCTTCTCATTTAATCCTAAGCATATAGAATTCATATAGAAATTTTCTCTTTAAATAAATATCCTCTTTAAGTGCACATTTTTTAAAATTTTCATTATGATTTTAGGGGTATATTTAAAGAGGATTAACTGTATTATTATCTTATAAAATTATTATATTTGATTCTAAATATAATAAACCTGCTTATATTAAAATTTTATTATAATGAACTATGTGTTATAGAATTGATTTTTTATAATTGATCAGGTTGAATATAATAAATTTATATAATTAAATATTATATATTGCATTTAAACTAATTTTAATTAAATATATATATTAAGCTATATATTTAATAAACTGAACTATTACTTGATTTAAAATTTAATATATAGGAGGATTTCTAAAAAAATCAGATTCTTAAAAATTTTAACTAAAATTAAGAGCTTAATGCATTTTAATCTAATAACATCAAAAACTAAAATATAATAAAAATCTCAATTTTATTAAAAAGTTTCTAGAATCTGATTTTTCTAATAATTAACCCATATGAAATTGTATAATTAAAAATGTACATTATAAATTATTTGCTAATGTGATAATATTTTATATAAAATACTATTTTAATAACTAATGTTAGTTTTACATAGTAATATCAATTTTTAATATAATAAATTGATAAATTTTATTATTATGAAATGATTATGTATCTGTATTTTTATTAGTCAATTTTATATACTGAATAGTTTAGTATAAAATATGATTATTATATAGTGAATTCACTTTATACTAAATTAAATCTTCTAAAATAGTAAGTTTATTATATTCAGAATTAACAGTATTACTATTATTATTACTAATAATTTTACTATTTTTATTATAATTATTAATATTTTGAACATTATTTTACTTATTTAATTTTTTATATTATTAAGTAAATTATTATAATTTAAATATTAAATTATTTTTATTAATATTATTAGTAATAGAAATTCTATATTACTTAATGATCTTTAAATTAAAAACATTTATATTAGTTTATAATTTTTTATTTATATAATAGAATATAAAAGATATTTAATTCTTTTAATAAATGTTAATTTACAAATTTAAAAATTTAAAAATTTAATTATTTTATAATAGTAATAATACAACTATATTTTAAAGCTTTAAATTAATTATATTTTACATATAGAATTTTTAGAAATAATTATAATATTAGCTTTTAAATAAATCGATTTTATTGATTCTATAAAATACTTATAAAAAGAAATTAAAATTAATAAAACCATATATTTTTTTATATTTATATATTTTTTAATTTATAAAAGTATTTTTTATCTATTATATTCTTTTGTATTTATATATATAAATTTCTTGAGAAATAATTTAATATATTTTTAAGTTTGAAATATAAACTGTTAGTTAATATTATTAGTTATACATTTTAATATAATAGTAATATTTATTTTAATAGTTGAAGTATTATAATAATTTAAAGTAATTAAGGTAAATCAAATGTAATTATCATTTTATTTATATATTAATATATTTTAATAATAATCATATTATTATATTCATTTTTTATAAAATAATACTTAAAAATTTTGTAAATAATTAAAAGATCATTAAAAAGATATTATACTATATATATTTTTCTTTTTATAACTAGATTCACAAGCATATCACTGTCTTCTTTTTTTTGTTATAAATTTAAGTATTGCACAAGGGAAAAGAACACGGGATTTGATCTAAAAATGATGATATGCAAGTTTTATAAATAGGATTAAAATTTTAGAATTATAGTATGTAAGATATTTTTTTCTTATAATTCATTTTATACAAATATAAATATTAAAAGTAAGTATAAATGATTTTTTTGTATTACCCTTTGTTAGTATCCTTCCGGATACTTAAATTTGTGATTTTCAAACTCATAAATGTGCGAAAATTGAAAAATACCGCACATTAATAATTTTAATGGATTTGCGCAAATAAAATTATTTAAATAAAATTTTGCAATTACGAATTTATATAACAAATATTCATTACTCGTTGATTTATCCATTAATTGCATGCACAATCAAGACGTCATCAGGACCATTTAAACATATCATTTAAAACTTAAATTGAAGAACTGCTTGTATGGTATACGGGTACTTACTTAGTCCATCCAGTTTAAGATCGATTTTGGACACAATACTCGTTACAAAAAAAAAAAAAAAAAATTTATAAACGTTATGGAGGAAGCTAGATACTTGATATAACAAAGAATTTAATCATAAATAATATTATATTCCGTTATTGTAAAAAATCATTCGATGAAGAAGCAAGTTATTTACAGAATTATTTTCTTTTTGATATATATTTTTTTGGAAACATATTGTACCATAGAAAACCAATTATCAATCGAAGAGAACGTATTGGTGGGATGCAATACTTAATAAAGAAATGCATGATTCGTATTTTATTCATCATCTTCACATTGATATCTGAATGAACATTCTGGCTATCATTGGAAAATTTGTTAAAAACTGCTAATAAGGGATTCATTTGTTTTTCCCATTTATAACAAATGGAATTTTGCAAAAATCATGATTCTTGGGGAGTTAATATAAGAAAAAAAATACTTTTCATTATTAGCGAATTATATCAATGAATCGTTGAAAATGCAATTTAACGTACAATGATTCGCGACTATGTATGAGTTTACATTTTTGCTAAATCGTCAACGTTTTTTAAAAAAAAATATAAATAAATCCAGAATACCTTTTATAATTCTACCTAATTACCGGACTCGAACTTTACGATCCGGACTCAAACTACGAGGCTAGATCCGGAACCAGCAATGAATTCACCTAGAAAAGGACCAATCACATATCGACTCTTCCAGACAAGCTGACTCTTTTGTCGCCTTGTCAAAAAATCCAGTATCAGATCAATGGACCAAAAAATTTTTGATGATCCAAATGTTCCGAATGAAAACATATCGACATAATTGGTTAAAACGGAATAGACTTTCTACCCAATTTTAGCCACTTTTTAATTAGTCAAATAATTTCATAAAAATCGTATCGGATCAAAATGGAATAGTCAGACTCAAAACGGTATGATACGTATTCCGGAGTAATCATAAAAAAAGAATTCACGTGGTTAAACGTGAATCTGATCAGGTTTTAAGGAAATAAAAGTCCGTAATTGGGTTTAACCAAATTTGAATTTGATTTTAAAAAAATACTACAAATTATTTATTTCCTCTCTTTAATTCTAGATATCAAAAAGATGGTTTTTTGTGCCGAGTGTAAAAGGAAAAATGTCTTTATAGATAATACCGGTCAAGCTGCTGAGTTTTGTTCGAACCAATGTCGAAGAACTGCCGTAGAAAAACGTAAGCTGCATATGTACCAATTTAAAAGGAATTACTTTTTAAATTAACAAATAATTCCATTTTTATATCATAGGTCATGTTCAAGCATGTATTAAATGTCGTATTTGGCCCATGATAAGGTTGCCTGACGGTTCAAGGTCCCCTTTTTGTAGTAAAAAATGTCAGAACTCAATAGGCGGAAATTCACCTATTACTGTTAGACCTCCTCCTCTACCTTCTTCTATGCCATTGCAACCGCCACAACCTTATCGTCCTGCCACCTATGCAGTGTTGCCATCGCCACCATTGAATCAACCTAATCCTTCTATTGGAATGCCTTCACAGTCTTCAATGCCCATTTTACCAATTGGAAATGCGAGACCAATCGGAGGTTCATGGGTTATGGCAACAGTACCATTTTGTCGTTATTGTAATGCAAAACCTTGTTGGAAAGATCAAGTTAAACTAACTTATTCATCTTACTGTTCACGGAGGTGTAAAGATGCTGCTGAACGTTTGTATTCCTTTAATATACCTATTTGTTTATTGACAATTTATTTACCTAAATCAATTAATTTTTTTTTTCTTTTTTTTAAAGAAGCTCCTCAAGTTGTTCCAACTTTAAATAATGTGCCCTTTACATCCCAATCAAGTTACAATGGACAAGTGTTATCTCCAACTACTAACAACGGGATGTTATCATCTCAATATTTACCATACCAACCAAATAATATTCAGCAACCACAATATCAGTTAAACAATATACATCAGCAGCAACCACCTTTGCCGAATATAATTCAACCACATCTTCCAAATTCACAGAATATCATTCCACAATCACATTTGCCTCCAAATTCTTCAAATAATATACCACGACAAGTTCTAAATAACATACAACTTCAACAGCCTCAAAAACAATTAAATAATCTCTCACAAAGGTTTCCACATTCATCACTTAATGAAAATCTTTCGCAGCCTGTGATTGATGATCCTCGATTTCAAACGAAAAACGAACATTTTTCGCATCCTGTAATTGATAGTCCTCTATATCCAATTCCACAAGCTAAAATCAATTCTCATCTGCGATCAAATAGCGTGGATTCACAAGACGATAGTTCTCAAAGTTCGCGAACGAGTAGTGGTCGTATACTTTATCCTGTTGTGGACAATACAATGGCAAATTTTCAATCTTCAGACAATCAAACACCACCACCACCGCCTATTCCTACTAATAAACCAACCAACCAAATTCCACTTCAACATATTAGTCCGATACCAATTAATATTACTATTAATACTTCCCAACCGATACATTCATCCCCATCATCTCAAACATCAACAGAAACTTTTTCACCTACATCACAGCAAAAACCGGAAGCTCATACTCCCTCTCAGGAACAAAAAATTCCCCAATCTCAAGTGCAAGTCAGTCAATCCAACATTCCTCAATCTCAAGTACAAGCTCAAGAAGTAAATGTTCCCGAACCTCCATCTCAAGTTCAAAATCAAAATCAACCTCAATCGCAAGAACATGTTCATTCTCGAATAAATTCAAGTGGATCGGATGAAATAAATGAGGAAGGTGATAACTTTCAAGTTACTCCTTATATTGAAGATAACCCCCCACCATACACACCAAATGATGCATTCACAGGCCAAGACATTTCAATTCGTAAAGTTACTAGAGATGATTCTTTCGACGAAGCGAATCCTTATGGATTTAGAAATAATGAAAATGACAATGATTCGAATAATCCGAGTGAAAGTAATCAATCAAATAATAACCAAGAACAACAAACTCAGCGTGATACCTCTCAACGACAATAGATAAAAAAGAAAAAGTAGTTTAAATTATCAAATTGCTATCTGTATATATATTACTATTATTACAATGGACAATAATTATTTAAAACGAAGCATGAGTATTAAATTATTTAGTTTGCTACAATTTTGTATTTTTTATTTACGATGGTGAATTTTCACCTAGATATATATATCAGGTTTATTATATGAATAAAAATATATGAAGCGTATTATTGATATCTTGTTTGTAAGTAATTTGAACTAAATAATTAAACCATTAAGGAAACTCTCTGGTAATCTTAATTTATTTAAACAAAATTCAACCGTAAAATAATCTTTATAGTTTAAAGATATATGTTACAAATTTTATTTCTGTTAACCTTCTTATATAATTAGAGAAAGATCTTGTTTCATTTTTAAAGAGAAAACTAGGTACATTTGCATCTTAAATTGTAAGTAACAAAATGTCTTCATCATTTCTTACTTACCTGGCAAATAAAATGTTCGACTAAGTGTCCTATTTCAGCATGATTATTGACATATTGACATAAAAAATTTCGATCACATAGCTTTGTGTTATTAATATGTCATAAATTATTAAAAGCTAAATAGCATTATAAAACTTTAATAAAAATATACAAGAGATTAAAGTAAAAATAGAATAATAATAATATAAAATATATAGAATAATAAAAATTAATATATAAAATAAATAATAAGTTATTTTTACAATTTTATAATAATTAAATAAATATTTATATTTATATCTAACTTAAATGTTACAACTTATATATTTTAAATATATATACAGTAAAATCTAATATATAAAAAGATTATTAAGAAAATTAGATTTTGAAAATTTTTTCATAAAAGTTAAGATTTTTATTATATTTTAGTTTTAATTTTAATTAAAATCAGATTTTTTTTTTATTTATTAAAGTATTATTAAAATATAGTAATTTATTAAAATCTTAAATTATAAAATCCTAAATTATTATTAAATAATAAATCATTTCAAAATATAACAAATTAAATTTAAAAATTAATAAAAATATAACATAAATTATAAATAAAAATCTAAAATTTTTATTTAATTTTAGTTTTAAGCCAATTTTATATGCAATTAACTTTCTTTAAATACATTACTTTAGAATTATAGTAAAAATTTTAAAAGAGTGCATATATTTAAAAAGAAAATTTTTTATATAATTTCTTTATACTTAAAACTAAATAAATACATATATTTAAAAAATATATATATATAGTGTATGTATTTAAAGGCATTTAAAAAGAGTTAACTACAGTTAACTCTTATTATAATGAACTCTATGTCTTAGACCTCAACTTCGCTATAAGGTTATAGTGAAAATTTTAAGAGATTTGATTGGCCAATTCGTTATAACAAGAATATTTTTATTATATTTGTTCAAAAAATTCGTTATATCAAGAATTCGTTATATCAAGAGTTAACTATATATATAATTATGATTGATCAAATAAACTAATAAAAAATTTTGATAAAAATTTAAATTTATTCTTTTTTATTAATTATCACATATATTTAAGGTTTTTAGACAAAAATCTAAAAGTTTTGTTAATCATCTAAATAGTATAAAATAAAATTTTACAAAATTATATAAAAGCTTTCTAAGAATTTATAAAACTCAGATAAAGTGAACTTTATCAAAACTTATAAAAAAAATAATTTATAAAATTATTAAATTTAATTTTATATTGATTATAAAAAATAAAGTTATTGTAAAAAATAATACTATATTAAAATAGAACTTAGTAATTTATATTTTGTCTATTTTATTTATCACTTTTATAAAAAATTTACTGTCATTTAAAATTGTAAATAATGTTTTATATTAAATATTGTAACTAAGAGATTTATATAATAAGAATCATATAATATAGTAAAGATGATCTATAAATTAAATGTAATATGAAAAATTTACAAATATAGCAAATAAATGATTAGCTTTAAGATAATGTAGACTAAGACAAATTAAATAAATATTATAAATAAATAAGATAAATATTATAAAATTTTTTGTAATACATTAATAAAAGTATAGAAATTTTATTATATAAATAGTCTAAGAAATTAATCATATAAAAATAACTTTTTAAGAATTAAGTTTTATAGAATTAAAATTATAATTTTTGAGAAATTATCTTATTTGTTAACAAAAAAGTAATTTGTAATAAATAAATTTTTAAGAAGTTTTATTATTATTTTTTATTTGAGAGTCATTTTTATTTATTAGTAATAAAGTAATTTTGTGATAAATAAACCTTTTAAAAGTTATTCTTAATTTTTATTCTAATTCAGGAAAAATAGTTATTTATTGCTATATAATTTTAATAAATGAAATGCAAAAAATTTTAACTTATTCTTTTTTTCCTTTATTTTGCTATTATATATTATATAAATACTATTTAAATCTTTTAAAAAATATAAAATCATTAATTTATATATATATATATTATTGCTTTTTTTTTAATATAAATTCTAAAATAGTTAGACTTTTTATTTTCTCTAATACCTATTATTAAAAAAATTATGAAATATAATACAAAAAATATATAATATAAAAGATTAAACATAAAACTTTTATAAAGTATTTAAGATCTACATATAATATATATTTTTGATTAAAAATCCTTTTTTTAAAATATTTTTCTAATTATACTATTTAAATATTTTACAAATCTAAGTATAGATTTGTAAAAAAATTCAAAATAATATAATTAATATTTTATAATACTTTATAAAATTTATTAATATTTAAATAATAAATCAATTGATATTTCTAAAGATAAAAAATAAAATATATTTAATTAAGTTCTTATTTAAAGAATACTTATAGTTATAGATAAACTAATCATTCAATCATCAAATGATTCAGTTTGTATTTTTTTTTTTTTTTTAAATATATTTAATTAATATGCTAATTAATATAATTTATTTTTTTAATATTTACTTAAAAAATATTATAAATTTATTTTAAAAATATTATATTTTAAAAAAAATTGATTTATATTAAACTACTTTATAAATTAATTTAATATTAATAAAACCTTAAATTTATATATAATAAAATTAATAAATAATATTATTTTGAATATTTAAATAATTTATTTAATTAAAATATTCAAATTAAATACCTAAATTATAAATAAAGATTAGTATTATTAAAAAAAAGATTAATTATTTTATAAATATCAATTTAATATTAATAAAAATTTAAATTTATATAGCTTAAAATAAATAAATAATTGTATTTAAAATATAATAATAAATTTTTTTTGATTAAATTATGAAGGATGTCATTTTATTTAACTTATAGAAGACAGGTAATATTATCAATTGATGAAATACAAGAAAATGAAATTGAAGGAAAAATAAATGAAGAAATTAATTTACAAAAATTAAGATTTAAAATTATAGAATTAATAGAAGGAATTATAGAAGCCTTAACAATATTTTAAAACTATTAAATAAAAAATATTTTTTGTAAAAAATAAAAAAAATTTAATTAAAATATAATAATTATTATATAAAGTTTACTTAAATTTAATAGATTATTATCAAATTATTATTATAAGTTTCTAATTTTATAATATACTAAAAATTAATATGATAATTTTTTAATTATTTAATTAAAAGAATTTTAAAATAAATTAACAAATGTTATTTTTAAATATTATAATATATAAAAAAAAATATGTATATAATTTTTTTTATTATAAATTGAAAACTTAATCTAATAACAAATTTATAATAATAAATAATAAATCAAATGTTAATTATTTTTATTTTTTATAATATATTTTTTTTTTTTTCAAAATTATAGGTAAATTTGTTTACAAAACTTGAAAATGATAAAATTAATAATTAGAGAATTTAAATAATAATAAATAATTATTTAATAATTAATATAATAATTTAAAAATAAAATATTAATATTAAAAATATATTAATTTTAGATAATATTATAGATTTTATATTATCACTTTTTAATAATATTATAAATTATATAAAATTTTAATATCTAATTTATTTTAAAAATAAGAATAAATAAAAAATAAATTATTTTAAATAATTAAATAAGTTTAAAATCAATTAAAATTTGATTTTTGTTTTAATAAATTATTTAAATTTTCTTTAGCCTTTTGATATCCATTTTCTACTGCTTTCTGATACCAATGAAGAGCTTTTTCTAATTTTTTATTTGTTCCTTTTCCATTTTCATAACACATAGCTAAATTATACATTGCATTATTATTATTATTATTTGCAGCTTTTTTATATAATTGAAAAGCTTTTTCTAAATTTTGTTCTATTCCATTTCCATTTTCATAACATATAGCTAAACCATATATTGCATCTTTATTATCATGATCTACTGCTTTTTTATACCAATAAAAAGCTTCTTTTAAATCTTTTTCTATAGCTATTCCATTTTCATAATATAAAGCTAAATTATACATTGCAAATTTATTATAATTTTCTGCTGCTTTTTTATACCAATATAAAGCTTTTTCTAAATCTTTTTCTATGCCTTCTCCATTTTCATAATATATAGCTAAATTATACATTGCATTATCAACATCATTTTCAGCTGCTTTTTGATACCAATAAAAGGCCTTCTTTATATTTTTTTCGGTTTTTTCTCTATTTTTATAACAAGTAGCTAATTCATATATTGCATATATATTATCATCTTTTGTTACTTCCTGATAGCAATAAAATGCTTTATTTAAATCTTCTTCTGTACCTTCTCCATTTTCATAACATATAGCTAAATTATATCTTGCAATTTCATTACCATTTTCTAATGCTTTTTGATACCAATAAAAAGCTTTTCCTAAATTTTTTTCTGTTCCTTTTCCAATTTCATAACATATACCTAAATTATTCATTGCAAATTCATTATCATTTTCTGCTGATTTCTGATACCAATAAAAAGCTTCTTTGAAATTTTTCTCTGTACCTTTTCCGGTATCATAACATATGGCTAATTTATATAATGCATCTATATTATAATTTTCTGCTGCTGTTTTATACCAATAAAAAGCTTTTTCTAAATCCTTTTCTGTTCCTATTCCATCTTCATAATATTTGGCTAAATTATTCATCGCATCTTCATTATCATTTTCTGCTGCTTTTTGATACCAATAAAAAGATTTTTCTAAATTTGTATTTGTACCCTCTCCACGTTTGTAACATAAAGCTAATTTTTTCATTGCATTTTCATTACCGTTTTCTGCAGCTCTTTGATACCAATAAAAGATTTTTTCTAAACTTGTTTGTGAATCTTTTTCATTTTTATTATATCGATCTTTTTCGTATAATAATGCAACATTATATTGTGCCGTTAAATTCCCTTTATTAGCTAATTTTTCAATTAAATTAAACACTTCATCCTCATCTTCGTTAGTTTCCATTTCCAATTTATCATTTTTATTGATTAATTCTCTTAGTTTTTTGCTGATAAATAGAGGATAATCAAATTCACTTTTATCTTTATCGATTGCATTAATTAATTTGCGAACTTCATTAATAGGTAGATCATAATAACTAAAATAAAATAATAATAAACAACAAAAATCACGAGAAAACATTCAATAATAAATTTTATGCTTACATCCAATCCGGAAACCATTCTTTTTTACGTTTTTGGTGAGGTAACATATAAAATAATTCAATCTCCACGATGACCTATATATCAATTTTAATTAAATTTTAAAATAAAAGATCTTTGATAAATTTATATAAGATATTAATCTTCATAATACCTTTGCTTTTTGAAGCAAGAATTCCTCATACTTGTTATAATCTTCAATTGCCATGTTAAGCAATCCGATAAATAAGTTCATAAGATAAATCACGGTAAAAAATGTGAATAAAACTAACAATATTGTCAATGTAGGATTTTCGCGGTAAGTCAATGACGACAGAGAACCGGAATCACCTGTTTTGGGGGGTTTTTTTTTTATAATAAAAAAAAAATTAGATCGGGGACACGATACAATAAACATAAGTAAATTATTTACCTGTAATAAATAAATACATTGCTAAAAGTGAAGTCGGAAACCAATTAAACATATTTGTATTTGAATCAGTTGATTGGATCAATATAGTCTCATCTGAGTTAACAGAGTTAAATGTATTTGCAAGTTCCGATGGATCAGTTAATCTTAAAAGAATGAAAAATGCATGAGAAAATCCGAGTACGAAAAAAAGTAAGACCACCAAGAATGGGAACACTTTTTTGCCAACTCCGATCATTATGATGAAATAAACTCCAAAAGATTTAAAAACTTGAAAGAATAATAAAAATTTAAAATTTAATAATAAATTAGAAATTGCTATTAAAAAAAGGGACGGTTCCCCATTAGTAAGCCAATATATAGATGTTATAATGGGTAAGGAATATGCTCCTATATCTATTAATAAAGAAAGGGATTAACATATTTTTTTTTTTAAAAAAAACAAAAAGGGTATCAATATAAAATACTTATGTTAATTTACTTACCAAAGTAATTCCATAGATTTTTAAAGTAAATGTTCGGTCTCCATAAACATTGTCGAAATTCAAATGTTAAATGTACAAGGCCAAGTAAAATAGAAATTATAAAAAGTATATTACGATAAAAATCGGCAATAAAGTTTTGTTCTAATGTAGAAGCAATTGCAAAACACAGAAAAAAGACAGTATAAAAAATCCAAATGCAATAATAATAATATTTTCCAAAAGTATTCCATTTAAAATTTATAATAGCATTAAAATTACACCAATTGTAAGAATGATTTGAATCAATATTACAAAATAGTATAGATTTCGGCTTAAATAAAAGTTCATTCCAAGAGTTTCCACCATAATCATCATCTTGATATTTACAAATTTGAGGCAGCAAGACGACAAAACTAATTTTTCGAATTTTTTGTTGTATCGAATGATTTTTATAAAATGATTGTATTAAAGCTTTAAAACGATTATGATTTGATTTTTTAATACAAACATTCTTGGAGTAAGAATGAAATGGTGTATTTTCCAAATTTTTAATTGACAAACAACCGGGATCCAATATAATGGAAGTATATAAGATATATTTGATAACTAAATTAGAATAACGATAAAAATCATGATCACATAATTTATGTAGTTTAAGACTAATGATATAAGGTAATAACATCATGTAATTTGTTGAATTATTTTCATTTTCTTGATCGATCAAACTGATAATCTTGTTGAAAATTGATTGGACGATATAATCATTCCTCTTTTCAATTGCTATATCCAATATTTCTGATCCAAATTTTGAAAATTCTGATGGATTATTTATAATATTCAAAAGTAAAATCTTGTAAAGATTAATTGGATTATCCAAACTTTTTACAAATAATACTATTTCGTAAGGATCATCCAGATTATTGACATCACAATTTTCAAATATAACCATAAAGTTCGGTGATGGTAACGAAGAAAAAGAATCAGAAAATTCTTTATTTAAAACTTTTTGAATAAGGTCGTTAATATCGACTTTAGACCCGGTTCGTTTGTGTTTTATCCAATTATCATTCCAATTCTCATTATTCCAAAAGTATCGAAGAGTTAATAAATCTCCGTCTATTGTATAGATAAAGATTCCTCGTTTAGTAATTAAGGCTAAATCCTGATTATTTAATTGTTGATATGAAAGTATATCGATAGAACGATGAGAATCACAGTTACGTGTTTCTTTCCATTTATGATCATGTGATTTATTGAATCCTTTAATCACAAAAGAACCTTTATCATTATTTTTAAGCTTAAACCGAAAATTTTCTCCGAGTACCAATCCGACCTTATCTATTTTGTTGATGCCGTTAAGGATACCCTTAAGCATATTTTGTATGGTTTTGAAGATAGCTAATGTGTAAATATTATTATGATAGGTATTCTTTAACAATTGTTCAAACGTGTCTTCATTCAACCCATCTGAAACGCAAACATTATTTTCGACAATGGAAAATTTTCTGTTTGACTTATTTATGATAACGTTCCTAGGATCGTCGATGATATTGGTAATATCAATCATTGTGTCAGAAGGAAGGAAAGGATCTACGAACTTACATGATGTTTCGTCCGAAAGTTTTTTATAAATAATTAATCCTTCAGAACCATCCTTTAAAGTTACAAATTCTACTGGTTCATAATCATCCGAATATCTTGAAATCTGAATTCCGGTTTCTATTGAAAAGATGTAAATTACTTCCTTAATGTTTAATGCCAACAATGTTTGATTTTGATTCATGACAATATTAGATAAACTCCGATCAAGATCGAACGTTTTATAACTATCAGATAAATGGTATTGCATCTCAAAACTCATTGTTGATAAATCCAATTGAGTTATCGTTGTCACGGTATCATATTCATAATATTTAGTCGTCGTTGAAACAAATAATTTTGTGATGTTTGCTGTTTGATATATTAAACAATCTACGTATTCGTCACTCCTTCCCGGAATGTCTATGTCGTATACTATAGAATATTCCCAAGGTGTTTTATCCGTTTTTGGTTTACTTTTAAAAGAATACAGGTAGATTTTGTAATCCGATAACGATACTAGGACTAAATCTCCATTAGGAAGAAATCCCAATAACTTTTCTTTAATGATACCAATTTCTTTATGCCCATTTTTCTCAATTGATTGCATTTCAGCATGCTTTAGTTGAAGAAATTGACCTTTACCACCGTTAAAGTCAACAATGCCTACAATAATATATAAATAATAATTAAGCATACAATGTTTAAAATTTTATATATCACCTCTAATAATACTTACGATAACAATGTTCATTTGCTTTATAATAATAGAATATCAAAATTTTTTTATATAATACGAATGAAGAAATTTTATAGGGTTCATAAAGGACGAAATTCTTATCGTGTTGTTGTTTATCCTTTTCAATGTCAACTAACCATCCATTAATTGAATTATCAGATTCACTATAAGTAACAACATAACTCATATCTGGAGAAACCACCATTCGATCAATTTGTTTCCCATTATGTGGTCTTGGTTGATTTTCCAAAAGAATATCTATTGCAGTTTCATTATTATCTTCGAGAGATTTTATTTCTTTAATACTTCCCATGTCAGATAAATCAATTACGACAAATTATGGAAACTAAAAAAAAAAAATTATTTTATTCCCCTTAAAACAAGGCTTTTTTATATGTGCGATCGACTGAATGTTTCATATTGTTGAACATTCAAATTTTAACTGATTGTTTCTTTTTTCAGTTGCGCATTTAGTCATTTATTTGTATCACTTTTAATTTATGCACGTACCTGTTTGAATTAAATTATTAGCTAAACATATAAGTTAACAATATTCCGGATCATAATACGTTCTGAGTACTATTTGACATAATTACTTTAGAAATAAACCATTTGTTCCTTCTAAATACATAGTTATATAAGGACTTATAAAGTATTTTTTTTTCTTTTTTTTCTTTATTGTAGTATTACTTATATGAATAAATATGGTAAAAAAAAAAAATTTGCAATTGTTACATTTAAAATTTTTTTTAATTTTCTTCTTATACATGTATATATAATACCAATTTAAAGCTAAAAGTTTATCATATTGTTTTTATTTTATTAGTAAATATATAAATAATCAATTTTAATATAAAATATTCAAAAAATATTTTAAAATAATCATTTTAATAATAAATAAATCTGTTATATTTTATCAGTCACTTAAAAATCCATTATTAATTTTTATGCATTTCAATGATTAATGTATTTATATAAAATTTTAAAATGATTGGTTTTATAAACTTTTAAATTTAAATTATAACAAAATCATGTAATCAGTAAGCATACAAAATTTATTCTAATATCACAATACTTTATTCATCTTAAGTTGACTTTTAGTCAATAGTATAATATTAAAAAATTAATTATAAATATATAACAAATAGATTTTAAGCTCTTAGAATACTTAATAAAAGTAACAAATAGATTGATAATAAATAATTACTATAATTAAGAATAAAAAAGTAGGAATTACTAATTTACCCTTATGTTACAATTGGCTGATATAATTAAGATTTATTAGAGTTAGAATTAAGATTAGATATTAAATGTTTTATCGCAAGTAATATTTTAATTTCTATTAAATATTTAAGAAACTTAGAATTTTTTTATATTAAATTATTCGTTATATTTTATATATTTAATCAATTATGCTAGTCAATCATAATATGAAAATAAATTAATAAATTCAAAAATATCAGTAGTATTATTTAATTCTAATCATTTTAATCTGATCTGATTGTAAAATATCTAATAGTCAATAAAATTATTTGAAAAGCAAATCAAATAAACAAATTAATAGATTAAAAATTTTAATAATTAAAATATTTCAAAAAAATATTTTATATTCATTAAATAAGACAATAATGAATTCATAAAATTTAAAAAAATTAAATCAAAAATGATTTAAAAACTAATATATAGTTGAACTTATTCTTATATTTCTAAAACTAATTATAATATAAATTTAAATTAGAACTCTAAACAAGTCAATTCAAGTTAGATTAATCAAGTTACTTAAATTAAAAGAATCAGATTAAATCAAATAAAAATCTAATCTGTTTTAAAATTTTTATTTGACTTAACTTAACCTAATCTGATTTAACTTAACTTAATCTAATCAAATGTTTAAAAGAAATAATATATTATATTTAATCTAATTTAAAAATTTAATTTTTATTTTATTTACTTTTTTATCTTTTATTTTTTTAATATTTTATATTTATTTAAATAAAGATTATATAAATAATAAATTTTAATATATATAATTTGATTAGTTAAAAAGAAAATTTTTTATATTTTACTAGTTAAATATTAAATAAAGATTAAATCAATAGAATTGTTCTAATTAATTAATAATAAATTATTTAAGAAAAATAATATAACTAAAATAATAATAAATCATTTAAAAAGAATAATAATAAAATCATTCAAAATAAATGATACAAAATCATTTAAATATCTTTTATCTATAATATAATTTAATTATTTAACCTAAATTTATTAGATCAGGTTACAATTTTAATTTAATCTGAAATTAATTTAAAAATCTATCACCTAACTTAGGTTTTTTATATTAGATCAAATTAAATAATAAGTTGATCTGATATAATTTAAAATTCTATTTCAAAATGTATTTTTTATTAAGTTTATAACTAAACTAAAAAATAATTATTGATTTTATAAAATTTATACTTATTATTTTATTTAATATTAATTTATTCAATAATTTATTAATATATAACTAAAAAAAAATATTATAATTATATAAGCAAAGTCAAAAAAATTCAAAAAAATTTTTTCTTTAATAAATTTTATTTAAAATATTAATTAAACTTTATTATTATATATAAAATTTATTTATATAAACTAGTTTTTATTTGACTTAGATAATAGATTAATAAGTAGTAAGTTTTCATATCAAAATTAAATATTTGATAAATTGTAAATAGCTGTATATATCACTCTTATATTATGTATTATACTATTATATAGTTAGAACTAATTAAGGTTCAATATATATCTGAGATGTAAATCTATTATTTTAAGCAAAAAAAAAGTAAATCATTATTTTTAAATAATTTCTATACTTTTTTATTATAAATGTTAGTTAATATATTAATGATATTTATTTAATTTGTCTAATAACTTGAAAATTTTTAAAATCAGAATAATGAAATATCATTTTTAATTGATTATTAATTTTAGTAAATAGATATATTAATTTAGATCAATTTATAATTAAACTATCTAATAATTTTATTTGTCAAGATAAAAATTTTTGATACAAATACAACTAATAATATAATAAATTAAAAAGTTTAATATAATAGTATTTTATAATAATTGAAATATTATTTTAATAAAAGTTTTTTATTTGATACTTATTATAAAGCTTATGATATTTTAAACAAAATACAAAAGACTAAAATTAGTCTTTTAATTTAAATTTATTTCTTATTATATAAGTAATTTTAAAAAAGAACTAAATCATTTTCTTCAATTTCAATTAACATCAATTTCATAAATTTTATTAAAAATTCAATTATTATTTTCAGTATATTAAATCTTCTTTAAAAATTTATTATCCATAAAAATATCTATAAAAATCAGTAATTATAGGTTAAATATATAACATTTATATTAAAAATAGTTTTCAAAATTTCAATTGAATTGCAATTTAATAATACTATAAGAAAATTTAATTGCATCAAAAGTTATAGTACAATTGTACTATTTTTTTAATTATAATATCTATCTTTAATTTATGTCTTAAAATAATTCTAAGAAAAGTATAAATAATTCTTAAAAATTTTAAAAATCTTTTTATTCTATTTATACTTAATATTTAATAAATTAATACTATTATTACTTTAGATTCAAATTGTTTAAAATTATTAATATATTAAAAATTTAGTATATCTTAGAATGTGATTTAAAGTAAAATTTAAGTTTATTTTATTTTATAAATTATTATTCATTATATTTTAATTTTCTTTTATATCAACAGATTATTTAATATTTAATATCAAAACTTCAATTTAATTACTTAAAGTTAAATAGATAATTTATTTATTATAAATTTTTTGACTTATATCAATATCTTTATAGTTTTTTAGTTTATATTTATAATAAAAATTTGTAAAGAAATTTATTCTTTATATATAAGGTTTAATCAATTTTTTCTTATAATTTTCACAATTAAATAATTTTTTTACTTTTTTTCTTTTAATTTTTAGTAATTAATAAAAATGAGAACTTTTATTAAGTATATTTATTAATAATCTATTTTATACTATTTTAATATAAAATAGGCTAAATGAATATTCTTAATTATTGGTTATATATATAAGATAATTTTTTACTAATAAATGAATTAATATTTATTCAATTTTAATATTAAAAATAATATGATTTATTAATATTTATTTAACTTATTTTATTTTAATTTTTGAAGTTTATTTATTAATAATATAGTAAAATAATACATTAATTTTTTTATATTTTGTAAATAATTATTTTATAATATGAATTTTTATAATTTATTGATATTTAATGTAAAAATTTATTAAAAATTATTAATAGATTTAATTATTGATATTTAATATATATTAATATAAATTGAAATTTATGATATAATTAATAATATAATAAAAGTTTATTAAAGTTTAAAGAATGAAAAGCTTAATTAATTTTATAAAAAGAATAGCATTTTACCTTAAATTATTTTTTCATTTCTTTTTTAAAGTTTAAAATTAAAAATGAAACATAATCTTCATGATAAATTTTATCTTATAATCCTAGATGATATTAAACAAAAAAATGAAGATATATTATTTAAAACTATATTATTACTATTTAGAACATTATCATTAAAGTTAACATTATTATTAGTATCTAAAATATCATATTAATAGTAATAGTATCCAAAATATTATTATCAAAATAGTAATATTTAAAAATATTATTATTAATGATAATATTATCACTAGTATCTGAAATATCATTATCAATAATAGCAATATCTAAAATATTATTATTAAGAATAGAGTTATTATCAGTATTTAAAATATTATCATCAATATCATTAGTATTTAAACATTATCATTAAGGATAACAATATTCAAAATATTATTATTAATAATTATGTTATTATTAGTATCCAAAATATCATTATTAAGAATAAGATCATCATTAATAATAATTTGTAATATTAGATTCTTATAAAATATTTACTTTGTAATATTTTTAATAAAATATTTTGCTAAAATATTTTATAAATCTATTGAATTCTTATAAAATTTAATATAAAGTATAAAACATAATAAATTATATAATTTTATTTATTATTTACATTTTAATATTCTATATTAATAATTAATTTGTTGATTTAAAAGCTAAAAATGAAAACTTAAAGTCTTAAAATAACAAACTTTGAAATTAAATAGAGAAACTTAGTAAAAACTTTTGAATTATTTTATTATAAGAATTTCAGAAAACTAATAAATATTTAATTAAAATTAATGATGAGTTTGATTATGAAAATGATCA